TTCTCCTCACAGGAAAAAAAGTCAGACCGAGGACACGCAGCTGGATCAGGTAAACAGTGTTCAACAGGTGTATCTATTACATCAAGTTACGTAACAAGACTCCCCCCCCCCCCACACACACACACGTACAGCGATCTTGAGGGTAAATCAGTTGTATATCCATTTGTATACAGACTCCCACTCCCTCAGTCCCACGCTAAAATCTTCCAGCTGCTTCCTGCCACATCAAACACACTCCATGTCCTATAAAACAACCCATTAGCTCTCATTCCATAAACAATACTTCTGGAGAAAAGCTTTGGATGTTGATCACAAGTAATTTTAGTAACCCCGTTCCTAAGTACACATAGGTGCATATATCTGTTATTTGCAAGGGTTCTCATAAAGATTGTGTGAGCATGAAAGAAATATTTTTCAAAATATACAAAAAACACTATCAACTACAGGAAAGATGACAAAACACATCATAAAAAGACAAACACAGTACGTTTCTCTGCTCTGCATGTCTGTCTGTGTGTGCGGAAGGTGAAATTAAAGCTGATTAACAAAAACATATAACCAGTGGGTGGTTGTGACCTCAGTTCTTATGATGCGTTCTGCTATCTCCATCCGCCCATTCTCCCACTCTGCTGCGACACATCTCCGCGTGTTACTCTACTGTATATCCTCACATTAAACATGACCTGAAAGACAATGTCAATGTTTCCCCCCAACATCACAGTCAGACCCCATTGTCGCCCCACAGCAAAGTGCTCCTCCCAGTGCTGTTGCCTGAGAGACGTTTACCTCACCTGCGTGGCTTTAGGTCTGCGGTGATGGATGAGGGTTGGAGGTATCTGCTTACCCAGGTAAAATTACCTCGCTCGTCAAAGTGTGTGTCTGTGTGTGCGCGAGCGGTGACTGATGTTCGCAGGGAACATTGTGAGGGAGCATTAAACTTTCACACTCCTCCCTTTCTGCCTCATGCCTTTCTTTGCCCTCCACTCACTGCCTTCATCCTGTCAAACTGTATTAAAGTAGCCCTGAGTTGTGGCCTGTAATAGAGCTAAGGCTGTATACAATGTTCTCCATGTAATGAGATGTTTGCTCTTCAATTACTCTGCTAAGTCTGTAATCTACATTATAGTTTGTGAATCTACACACCCTGACTGTGTTTTGTGATGTGGCAGCCACACACACACACACACACACACACACACACACACACACACACACACACACTTATGTAGATAGAGAAACTCAAGCATAGAATGGGATCCATTACGAGCAAGGTTTGCATTTGTGACACAATAAAAAGTATTCTCACAAGTACACACACATTACTTCACAGATGTAGAAAACAATGATTACACACTTGGACGCACACATGGAATCCCAGGGATTGTGCAAAATGACCTCACCGCTCAAACAGCCAGCAGCCGAAGATGGGTTGTGCTGGACAAAGCAGGTAGTTGCGGGGGCTCTATATGCCCTTGTGTATGTGTGTGTGTGTGTGTGTGTGTCGAGGTGATGTAATGAGCGCTGGCGCTGGGTTGGCGCCGCCCTAAGCCTAGCAATATGCTGCTGACACACAAACACAGAGATACTCTCTGATACAGGGTAGCACTCGGTCACACACCCCCACACACCACTGCAGACGTCCACACACAGCTTTAAACACATGCTGATTACACAATAATAAGCAGTGAAGACCAACACACCCACAGCACTGCTGAAAAGAGGGTATTAAGCAATCTGACAAGCAAATCAAAAACAGTAATATGCAGTAATGAATAGACTGAAAAAAAACCCTGAAAAATCTGAGAGAAAAGATAGGTGTATGTGTGTGTTTGTGTGTGTGCGTGTGTGTGCGCTGAGAAGTTGCTCTAATTAAAAAAGCATTGAGAGAGTGTTCCCTAAGAGTCCTCTCAAGGCTGAATGGGGCATTGTGATTCGTTGTAATCTCTCCTCTCTATCGCATAACTCTAGGCCCAATCTGGCATCCAGGCTGCCACGCACGCACACACGCACGCTTACAGACCTTGACACACACACACGCACGAAAAAAAAACGCTCTGATGCACGGCTCCCAGGAATTCAGAACATCAAAGCGTGTTATTTTTTTTATACGAGAGGAATCTCTGTAAAATATAGCGGGCCGTCAGTGCTGGACTGCAGAGCTCTGGATCGGCAGACGAGCAGATCTGAGCCAGCCATGCAGGGATGACACAGCCAATGTCAACACACCAACAAAGACCTATTATAGTAAGAGCTACATGTCACTGCTACACAAACAAGAAGGCTCAGTGGCTTACAAGAGAGGTATAGAGTCTTAATTTGACACTAGAATTCAGTGTACTGTTGTCATTTGAATCATCATGTCAAATGTCTGTGCGCTATAACAAATATGCGTCTCACCAACTTAGACTATGTGAAAAATAATTGATGTGCCTGAAACTGTTTCCTCATTATGCATTCACTATTTCCTATGTGGAAATATAGAGAGTAGAAAAATGATGGTGATTCATTTAGGAATCATCATGGGGATTGGAAATGTTTGAGGGCACTACATTAGAAGTCAGACACTGTGATGAAATTGTGTGAATTCAGTAGAAAACTGGGAGAGATTTCAGATGTATCTTATGTCTGTTGATCGAGTTGATTCCACTTGTTTCTGATGCAGTCACTGGTTCAGAAAATGATGTTCAAAGAGCCAACAGCAACTGAAATTCGTTGGATAAGGACACTAGTATCAAGATAGGACAGGATAGGAAAGGTCACTGCTTAAACAGCTTATGTCAAATACAAACTCTAAATATATAGATTAATAGTCTGTAAACCAAACCAGCATAGTCATTTAGACCAAGCAGATAGACAAGGAGACTATAAGGATGTGTGCAAGTACAGTGTGTGTCAGTTTTCTTTGTACAAGCCTATGCTTTGTCTCATGAGGTTGTCAAAGTCACCCAGCGGGTTCAGAAAGAATGAACCGCAGCAAAAGGAAAATAATAATAATAGTAATAATTTACTGGTGGGAAAACAGGCTTCCCTCACTTTCTGTGTAGAAGACAAGGTTGCCAAAGAAAACAACCCAAACCTAACAATTTGTTCACACACACAGGTGAGACAGAAAGCACCAGCTGTTCGTGCTGCTGAAATAAGGAACAATTCAGTCTGTCAAACAGCATCATTGTTCTTTTAGTTAGAATAAGATGGGACTCCAGAGGCTACAGAACTCCTGTGTATGTTGACAGGTTAACTTTGACCAGATCCAGCCAACGATTCACGGCTGCACTTTGAAATATTGAGAGAATTAAGAGAAAACAGAGAAGGGTGTCCACCTTCAGCTTTCTGATTTTACTGATTTTCTGTCCAAAATCAAACTTTGCGGTTACATTTGGACAACAACAGACAAACTAAAACAATATCCTTGCCAGCAGTCAAATACAAAATAAATCAAGGGTTATTAAAAAAAACTATTATCTTGCAATAAACACAACCTACAATGCTGTATAACAATAAGGGAATACAGTGAATGAGCAAAAACCTCACTCATCTCTAGGTCACTTTTGAAACTGCAGCTCCTGACTAGTTGGGTGTTCATGATTATCTGCAATCTGTTTCTTGGACATGCTTGACAGTGGTCGACTTAAGTATTAAAATAAGAAAATCACTGAGACAAAATGCCAAAATATATGGTTCCCACACATTCTTTCTTTTGGCCACATCCTCTGCTGGGGAATTATTAGCCGTACTACTAGTTAATCTTTGGTTTCAAATGGAGTCACTGTCCGTTACCCATGCAGTATTCATAGTTCTCCATAGACCTTACAGAACCACAATGTAAGGCATAATAAGGGGTCATGAAAGTCCCTTTTAGGCGGAACAAGCACAAAAACCAAAAAAGACCAAAAAAGGTCTGAAAGACTGTGAATCTGAATATCCAAGAGTTGTTGGATAGTTACTACAGTAACACACACACACACACACACAATGACAGAAGAGAAAGGGATGGCTTTAGCGGTGGAACAAAAACAGGAAATGGGGACTGTGGATAATCTCTGTGCTGCCGACCAAGCAAACGCATCAGTAAACAGAAAGAGGGATAAGACCCCTGTGTCAGCCTACTTGTTAAGTTATAAATGTACAGACTGATGTCCTGACGATAACAAAATCCTATTACCTTCTCATCTTAATCCAAAAGTCAACACATTTTTCTGAAACATCATGACCACACAGTCTGTGATCATGAGACAAAACACGACAGAATTATAAGGTAGAGTTGCCAAACAAGCCAACTGTGGCTTCAAAACTGTGATGGTCGAATGAAAGGAACCTTAAAGAAGAACTTTTATGCATCTCTTATCAGAGACAGAAACTTCTCTCATTGATAATCAGGCTGATTTTATCTAGATAATCCTTTGTCCAGATTATCCTGGCAATTTTACTAATAAACAGAAAACATTTCCTGGTTTGAAAATAGCTAGCAGTTTAAAAAATCTAAAATTCACAAATACAAGTCTCTATTACATCAAAATCTTTTTCTATTAAACCTGCATTAGTGGATTTTTTTTCTTGGGGGCATAGAACAAGCTGTAAGACTTGAGGGTCCAGCAGACACGGGGTAACATTAACATTCATTTGGAAAATTTTAGCAAATTTGGCCAGCTCTGTCTACGTCTCCACAAACTCATGAGGGAAATATCTGGCTTTTTAAGTAAATACAGACTGAAGTACAATGAGTGAATTCCATTTTGTGTTGAATTTTGTCAAAGAACAGTGAGCCTCCTCTACTGAACTTTTTTTCTGCAATTCAACTTTTAATGAGACTTTGATGATCAAAAAATACTGAATATGTGTAAAACCGTTCTGATTTTAAGTCTTATTATTCGCTAGGGTGTCACCTTTGGTTATGTAGGAGCTAAAGCTTCTTCTGTTGTCTTACCTATTGTCACTATAGAAGAATCAGCTGAACACCTTAAATTAAAAAAAGGTTAGGTATAACAACCTGACCCACTCACCTTTTGCAGGCTCATGGTTCTGAAGTCCCAGTTTGGCATCCGTCACACCAATACCAGTTCGGTTCAGCCCATTGGCGATGTTCTTCTTCTTCCGGCTCCCCTTTAGCCAGCTGAAGGCCTGTCCCAGGGTGCTTCCTGGCTTCTTCTGCCCACGCTGAACCCTCGCCTCTCGGGCTAAGACCTCAGTGATGTCCCTGGGCACAAGGTCACCTGTAGACCTCCTCCGGGACATCCTGGAGGTTGGTCCTGGGAGCTAAGGCCCCGTACCTCCACCCGGATCAGTGTGTCTTCTGTCGTGAATAAGTCACAGGATCTGAAATCTCCCTGCTCTCTAGGGTTTGATGAACCCCTCTGTTCCTCTTTGGCCTCACTCAGTGTCTGTTTTTCCTGTCTGTCACCACCTGGGACAACAATGAGATCAGCATGATGAGAGAGAGAGAGGGCGAGATGGAAAGACAGAAAAGTAGGGTAAAATGAAAGCCAGAGGTCACAGTGACATGACAAAGCAAGAACAAGAAAAAGAGCTCATTCATTAGAATAGGGAGATTAACTGGAATAAATTAAACTCACATACTCACACAGGATTATTGCAAAATAAAAGAATAAAATGGGAAAAACTGTTAACAATGAATCAAGAACATTCCCACATTATCCTACTAAAGTTTTCCCTCCACTCATCCGCCCCCACTCCCCCTTTCTATTCTCTCATTTTTGTGTATGTAGACGAGAAGCCCCAGGGAGGAGAGCTGGACCTCTGCAGCGTCTGTGTGTGTGTGTGTGTGTGTGTGTGTGTGTTTGCGTGTGTGTGTGTGTGTGTGTGCGTGTGTGTGTGTGTGTGTGTGTGTGTGTGTGTGTGTGTGTGTGTGTGTGTGACATGTGGTTCACATCAGCAGAAAAGTGTGTATGGGTGAGTTAGAGAAGAGAAAAAAGCTCAATTCAATAAAACTAGCAGTGGAAAAAATACTTCAAATGTACACGTTATACGTCATAAAGACACATTTAAAGAAAACAGATGAACACATGCATCTATATCTACGTGTTGTCACATTAACAAACAATGCAAAATATTTGCTGTAAAGTGGTCAGACAGAATATAACTTCGTACAACTTACTCAGCGAGCGTGCTGTCTTCTCCGCTCCCCTCTTTTCTCTCAGCCTGAGAACAGCTTTGCAGAGCATGTGTGTGTGTGTGTGTGTGTGTGTGTTTAGCAGAGTGAATGAAGCTCCATGCTCTCTGAGTCCCTCCCTCTGTATGAAAGCCAGCCTCTCCTCCCACCTCTCACAGTGTTGTTAGGAGTTAGCCACACCATTCCAGTGCTGGTTGCTTCTCCTCACGTTCTAGACAGCTGGTATTTAGCATTTTGGCTTCAGTATTGAGTCCTTCACTTGAGCTGCATGGGTCATTAGTAGTTTCTTGTCCTGCTGTTGGCTTTCCTTTTGTCTTTTCCCCTAGCCTCCTTTCCGGGGATCAGGTGCAGTCATCCCAGTCTCCCTCAGGTGGGGGACCCCTGGGTCACAAAGCATCATGGCAGCTAGGAAAGAAAAATACACACCTTGAACCAGTGTATCCATAGATAGATCACTTTATAACCCAAAAGACAAGACAAAATGCCCAGCATAACTCTTGTGTAGCTTTCACAGAGGGGAGAGATGGTTTATTTTTATTTTTTCAAGAGAAAGAAATTGATATCTGATGACAAAGTTCCCTGGGAAACTACTGCACAGTCCAGTATTGGAAAGGTGGCCTGGCAAAGGTGAAGAGGTTCAGCTGTTTCTCTGCAGATAAGTGGGAGTGGCTCTTTCCTGTCACTGTGCAGCCAGGTGGAAACCTGATGCCCCTTGTTAAACATGACACACACACACACACACACACACACACACACACACACACACACACACACACACACACACACAATTAGAAAGACAGGTAGGGCGAGTCACAAGGGGCCAGTTACTGTTAAGTCATGTCTAGTTGTACTCAACCTATACATAGAACAACTCAGCATAGAAGCTCTTTCAATTAACTCTAAAGTGAGTTTCAAATTGCACTGTGGAGACAAGGGAAGCTGACATCACTGTATGTGTGTGGGTTGGTGGGTGGGGGGAGACGCTTGTCAGAAGTGGGTGGAGTGCATATGTGTGCGCGCATGTCGTGGGACTAGCTCATCTGGTTTGAATGTGGAGAGGACCCACTGGGGTAAGGAAGGGGAAGCAGGATGACAGACGGTGTAGCAGCCTTGGGGGAACAGACTCAGACACACCTGTGACTAGAGTCTACAATACCGTTTGTACATTAGCAACAAGGGGCTTCAAGGGGGCTTTGTGTTAAATTCTACACTAACAGAAAAGCACTGTATTATGTAATAATTGTAATATGTGTACCCAAAGAATATAGACTGAATGTGTATGGTATTGTTAAAAAATTAACCATAAAGAAGTGTTAAAAACCCCACCCACTACCTCCCGTATCCCCTTTGCTAAACAGTAGCTTATAGCTGACACAAACAACCAACCCAACATGACAGAAGTAAACTTGTTAATTAAAGCAGCAATCCAACAGAAATATCACTGAAGAGGGAATACATCCACATGCAAAATGCTTGTTTTTGTCTTTTCTAATGTGAACTTTTCCGCGTCCATAGCTACAATAAAAAGCAATAAAAACCATACAAAGCACCTGGCTTCACAACATCAATAGTTGTTTAGGGAGGCAAATTTTTTTACACTCACCAGCTTTCCAGCTGATCCAGAGATTTTCTTTTCTATCCTCTCAGCTACAGCCACTATCTACTATTGATTACAGGCAGGTTGAAAATTGATCATCAGTCAATCCAGATTCTCATTTTCATCTAGACTAAAAACACAAGTCTGCATCTTTGTGATATGATATGTGATACATTTGAGCTAACACTTGCATGTCATGGTCTGTTTCATCTATTATGAGTGAGCTGTGGGTTACTGTCTTCATTCAGCTCTGAAGATGAGAATTACCTGTCTGTTGGGATTCCTAAGCTAATTCTGGCACATGACCTAAAGATATCACTGTCAGAACACACTAAGAAATCAAGGTACAGAAATGGACATAAAAGGGCCCAAATGCTGTGTTGCTCCAGCTGTACCCCAACAGGGTACAAGAACTGTACCTTTGAACATGGTACCTTCTTTTCTGTACCTCTAAAAGAAAATTGCTGTTCCCCTAGTGACATAAATGTAACTTTATGTCCTGGTACAAAAATGTACCCATTGGAAAGTTACAGAATCAGTACCTAATGAGGTACAGCTGGAGCAACATGCCATTTTGTATCTTCATGTGGCAAAAACATTTCCTTAAATTCAGAGACATTTTTTATTTTTTAACCTTTATTTATTCAGGGAAGGTTCACTGAGAGGCAGCCTCTCTTTCGCCGAAATGCCCTGATAACATTCATACCTAGAAGCTGCCCAGTACAACCACAGCGGATGGGGTTAAGGGCTTTGCTCAAGGGCTCAAGAAATAATAATTCATTTACATCTTTTAACAGTTTTCAGTATCTTTTCATTGTCCTGTTCAGCCAGAACTGATTTGTCCATAACAAGTGAATGCTGTAACCAAGTTGTAATCAAGTTTTAAATTCTGTAAGCTTCAGCAACAAGTGCACTTGCCATAGTCACATGCCACAGCAGACTACAGGGGGGTTGCACAACCCAACTCAGCAGGGGCTCCATAAGGGAGGACCACGACATAAAATAAAGTTAAATAAATACAGAAACATTTTTTCACCACGGAGGAATGCAAAGAATGAGAAAATAGAATATAATAGATAGAAGATACTCCTTGAATAAAATAAAACTGTGAGTAATAGTGATGGCTAGTGGAAGCATTTCACTCTGCTACACTGACAATTAGCTACTTGATTAAATTACAAAATCACAAATAGATCCAACTTGTCAATACACGCTGAAGAAGGGTGTCTTGCCCGAAACGTCCGTGTGGCACAATTAAAGAGTTTAATTGAAGTGCTGTTCTAGTTCTTTGCTCATGAAATGATTCCCAGGCCACACAGACCAAAAATTGAATGGAAATGCACTAACAGCCTATTATATTTCAATAAACCCAACTCTCTACTTAAATCAAGATTTTGTGAACACTGGTTTGCTGTAACATTTTACCTTTAGCTTGTTAAAAGTACAATTATGTACCATTTCTGTCAGCCATTATTTTGTACCTTTAAAATTAAACAAAAGGTCCACAGTTATTCAGGACCTTTTTCGTACCTTTTTCTGACAGATGTACCTTTGAGTACAGAAATGATACCCCTATTTCTCTGTGTGTGCGGTACTCATATGCTGCAACTTTAATGGCCTTCAGCTTCAGGAAGATATACCATCAGTGCTAGTCAGCAGGCTTGTGCTACATATATCTCACATTTTTGAGTGAGCGATGATTCATGATGTCTCTGTGTGTGATGTATTTTTTGTGTGCATGTGGTTGGGGAATCCATACTGAATGCGTGTCCTGGTGTGCTGGGAGGGGTTAAAATGAGTCATAGTTTAGTTCACTCATGCCTAACAGATTGAAATGTTTTAACGTTTCCATGGTGATACAATAGAAAACAGCCACCCTCTGTATGTCTTCGAGGGAGCTGTACAGTCTCTTTGCGAGTGTGTGTGTGTGTGTGTGTGTGTGTGTGCACACAATAAGAGGTACAAAATCATTAACCGCCAGAACACTATGAGCCTACTGGGGAATGTATCACCAATCCTCCCTTACTCTGTTTCCCTCTGTATCTTTCTGTCTCCATCTTTTCTTTTCTAGCTTAACTGTTGTAGCTACATTTTCTGGCTATGTTTACATGCACACACACATCCTTTTCTAAGGCTCCCCCAAGTTTTAATGCCTTTGTTTGTGAGGCAGATGGTCATGCAAACAACTTAGGATAGTTGTAGAATAGGATATATAAGGCAACAACATCACTGAGCAAGTTTTGGAATCCATTTCAAATGTAGCTGTGAAGAACTTAATTCTATATCATTAGTGGAGAAATAGAGGGACGCAAGAATTCTGTTTTTTCATGTACCCATGATTATAGAGATATACAGAATCATGCCATGTATAAATAATAAATATTGCAGAGAATAAGTTAGTATCTGGATTACTGTGCATAAAAAAACATAACCACTGCCCAAAACAAGTTCAAACAGTCTGAACAGTCCAAAACATAACAGCAAGCACAAGCAGCCTATGGTGCCTCACCAGTAGGGGTGGCAATATGGATGAAATCTCATCAAGGATAACTTTATACCACAAGAGTCTACAGCTGCGCTAACGGTCTATGAAGGACAGTAATGCTTTAAGCTAAATCTTGATATTAGCATGCTAAAATGCTTATGTTTGACAGAGGGTTCATCGCGTACACCATCTTAGTTTAGCATGCTAACATTTGTGAATTAGCAATAGACACAAGGTACAGCTGAGGCTGATGGGAATGTTGTTGGTTTTTCCGGGAATTTTGGTAACAAACCAGAGCATGAATGTCTGTACCAAATTTCATAGTAATCCATTCTCTCAATATCTGTCAAAACAAATCACTAAAAATAAAAAATGTCAACCTTGTGGTGGTGCCTGAGGAAAACCAAAATAATTAAAGTTTTCTGGAGACCACGAATGCCTGTACAAACTTTGACAATCATCCATCTAGCTGTTGTTGAGATATTTCTGTCTGTACCAAACAGAAAGTCTGACTGACCAGCATTGCCATCCCATGAGTCACTCCATTAGCATGGCCAAAAAACATACATCATCACATTCATGAAAAACTTGAATATAATAATCAGATTACATAATAAAGAATAATGGCAGAGCTTTATATTTCCAGAAAGCAGTTGTGCTCATTTATTTCTAACACTGCTCATAAGATCTAATACAACCTAAAATAAAGGGATACCTGTGCAAATATATCGCCAATTGTCAATTTTTGGGCTGACAGAAACTTTGAACATATCACCCAACCCTAGCACCTTGTTCAAGGACAGTTGAAACTCTTGAGCTCCATAATCAGACACACTACCAACAGCAAGATGACATTTCTGTCAATGACCTGTGTGTATGTGTGTGTGTTAGATGTGACTGAAAAGAGGCTGCAGGCAGGAAATCCATACTGCCGGTTGGGATAAGCCCAGCTATCTCGGACCAGCATTATCATTCCCGACCAGCTTTTGTCCTGTGACAGACGCATTCTTTCTGCACGGACTGCTTCTCTCTGTCTATTTCTAAAACAAAAGAATACAACACTGTAACTACACCAAAACAGACCTCAACTGCACTGACTGTTGTTTTGTTCTCTGATCTCTATAACATTTGTGTGCAAACTGAACCCCTAGATATATATTTCTAACAACCAGTGAGTAATCAAAAGCACTGAAAAAGAAAAAAACACCCCCCGAAATGACATTCCACAGTCCAGTATTTATAACATCAACCAACTGAGAGGATGGGAGGGGTGGGAAGGGAGGTGCAAGAGAAAGAGAAATGGGGACAGAGAGAATCGAGGCATGTAATAATAGTTTTAGAGAGAAGAGGGAGAGGTTCCAGGTTGATACTCA